CTTCATGGTATCAAACAAAGGCTGCCACTCCCCGTAACAGTAATAAATTTCCTCAGGTGCAGGATCCATCATCCCTGACACCTGGGATAAAAATGTTTTGACAAATACTGTTTTACCACTCCCGGTTGGCCCTGCGATCAGAGCGGTAAAGGGATGTTTCCATCTCGGATCCATCGTCTTAAATGAATTATTTTGATTCCAGTCATACGAGTTAGTGTTGGTCGCAGTATAGTCTGTTTGGATCGCTGATGGCGGTTGATCGGTTTGTCTGTCGACCGGTGATGGGGTGTCCCTCAGTATAGTTTGGTTGTTGTGCGCTGTCTTATAATGGTTCGTTAAATTGTCAAGTTGTGTAAATAGTTTCCCGCATGTTGTGCAGGGATGTCTTTGTCGTCCGTGTACAGAGTCGTGATGTCTTGTCAAAGCGTCTTTGCGAGTGAATACCCGCTCGCATATGTCACACTTGTTACGGGACATGGCTGGGTGGGTGGTAGGTTGGGCGGCTTCCATTATTGACGAGTTATCTAGTAGTCGGCTGCTTGGGTAGGTCGTTGGCTGTAGAATAAAAATAATTACATAAAATAAAAAGCATAAAATAAAATACATACTTAAAACAAAATTAAAAATGAAACGTACCTATGGGTTTGAACATCTAAGGTGAACGTGAAGTTAGCTGTAGCTGGAACGTTTGGTTCAGTGGCTGCCTCGGGGATGTGTGGGTAGCTCAATAGGGTCGGTCGATGGAACAGTTGTGTGGAGGGTCGGTTGTACACTAAAAAGGAATACATGTGACGACTTATTTAGATACATATTTATTTAAAGGTTATTTTAATTGGTTAGTTTCCTTAAAATAAACGTAATATTCACCTTACCTCGATGTACGATTCAAAAGTAAAGTAAATACATGTGAGTACTTATTTAATAAGATTTGATTTTAATGGGGTTAGTTCCCTTAAAACAATTCATACTAAAAATAAACGTAATATTCACCTTACGTCGGTGTACGATACAAAATTAAAGTAAATACCTGTGACTACTTATTTAATACGTTTTGATTTTAATGGGGTTAGTGCCCTTAAAAGAAAAGTAATATTAAACTTACCTTTAATAGAATAAACACGCACAAAAGATGTGGTCTGTGGAAGGATTAGGTGGGTGTGATGGTTGGTAAAGCTGACGTGGGTTAGTTTCAGGAGTCAACAGAGGTCTCAGGTAGGATAAGTCGCTGTGATGGTTGGTTTGAAGTCCAAAGTCGAAGTGATTAGAACACAATTTGTGCGGTCATTTATACGGTTGGACACTCTAATTACAGCCCACACCTACCGACTCCAAAACATGCATGTTCCGAGTTCAAAACCAACCTCGGTGAAAACTTCACCGACCCTAGTATGAACACGGCCACTTAATCAATAAAAAATTATTGATTTGTACTTTAGAATGATTAGATTGAATGATATGTATGCTAACGTCATATCATATTTAGTTTATACATCCTTATTTTGGTGAAATTTAAATGTAGACATTTTAAACTGTGTGTGTCATTTGACACGACGTACTATAACGTTGTTGATTTTTAAAACTTGAAGTTTATAATCTTAAGCAAATTTACCACCACCACCACCACCACCACCACCCGCTTGGTAACATCTGTCGCCACACTTAACGGTAGCTTTGCGGTTAACTACTTAGCGCTTTCGATTAAACGCGCGGTGCAAATTTAAAAGTTATATTACAACCCTTTTCGGCGTCAGCGAATCGTCAATATATTAACGATCGTATTATATTACGTTTAACACTTCAAATTATTGGAACTAATTATAAAAGATTATTTCAAGATGTCTAATGAAGATTGGATACTTGTGGCCAGAGGTAACAATAAAGTGACGGAAATACGAACGATGAATCACACCGGATTTAAATTGGCGATTGTCAGCCAATTCATGAACAAAAACACTTTAAATCTTAGAGAGCTTATAGATGGGACCGATCTTAATTTTCCTACAAATTCTGGTGTTAGTATGAGTCGCGTCTGCTTTGAGCGCCTATTAAGTTTACAGGATGAAATTTTAAAAGCCTTTGATGAATTGGAAAAACGTTAATAAACAAATAAAATATAAGAAGACTTTTGTTCTAATTTTAGTGTGTGTGTGTGTGTGTGTGTGTGTGTGTGTATATACGTGTAGCATACGCGTACTAGAAAACCATCAAGGTAATGTCCGGTTGCTCAACCTAATTACACCACCAGCTGTCGCACAACAGCTGTTGGATAATGACCTAAGTGCTTCGCGGAGAGGCACTTAATGTACGTCGTTAATTACCATAACCTGTCAACCGCTCGGGGGAAACTCGGTGAAGCATAACAAAAATTTAATTAGGTGTGATGGGCCAGCGGCTGCGATCAATACATTCCCATTAAAACGGGCAGCGGTGAGAAAACTTCGCGGGCGGGTCGATACGTAACAGCTGTGGCTGATCGTTATCTTTAATGGATGTTCTATGTTTGTAACGTTCGTTGTGGTGGAGAATTTAACCTGTTTTTTGTACACGGTCGTTGTAGGGGAGAATTTAAAACATACATACAACCAAATAAACAAACCAACAAATTAAACAACAAAGAAAAGAAATATATCAAATAAATAAATTAAACAAAGTAATTAAAATCAAATTAATTAAAATGAATTTCAAACAAATAAGCAAATTACGTAACTCGTTAATAAAAATTACACAATATAAACAAAGTAATTAAATTAAACAACAAGTAAACAAACTAATTAAACAATCAAAGTAATTAAATTACATAACTAGTCAATAAAAATTCAAACTAATTATAAAATAAAATTAAAATTACGTAACTAGATACAAAATAAAGTAAAAAAACATGTCTACCCCCGCATACCTTACGTACCAACGCACTAAGTCGCCCCTGTCGCCCATTAAAAAGCACGAACCTACCGAGACCTCGTTTCGTCTCAAAACCTGATTTAACGTTGGATGAAAGAAAATTCCGACCCTTAAATATATTTTGTTTTCGTTGACCCTCGCTATAAGCGAATAGTTACAACCAATGTCCTTACTCAGGGTAATTACAGCACCAGCTGTTACGTGATGGCTTCCCACTCTAGTAACCGAGCGGGGAAAAATCGATTAACGTGGTAACAGGTGTTCCCACACTTAACGCTGGCTTCACGGAGAGACACTTAGCTCTTTCAATTAATTATCATACCCCCTGCTGTGTTCGCTTTAGTGAACAACACATAAACCCACGAGGCGTGACCAACTTTAATTAGGTGGACCATCATACTGATGGTCAGTGGGTGCGATCAATACGTAACAGGTGTTACATGTCTGGTTAATGGATGTTATTCACAAAGTACACGCTAACGCACCCCTACCCTCAAACCCCATCATTACTCCCCCTCTCATCCACCAACACCCCTATCCGTTTAAAATCAAATAAACAGTGTCTTTTATTTTAAATACCATACATCAAAGAAAAGAAATATATCAAATAAATAAATAAACAAAAGTAATTAAAATCAAATTACGTAACTAGTTAATAATAATTTAACTAATTATAAAATAAAATTAAAAATAAACAAAATAAAATAATTAAAAAGTAAACAAATAATCAAATTACGTAACTCGTTAATAAAAATTACACAATATAAACAAAGTAATTAAATTAAACAACAAGTAAACAATCAAATTAAACAATTTAAATCAAACAAATAATCAAATTACGTAACTCGTTAATAAAAATTAATTAAAATTTTAAAAACTCATTAAAACTCATTAAAAACACATTAAAATTACGTAACTAGGTAAAAAATTAATTAAAATTTAAAAAACTCATTAAAACTAATTAAAAACTCATTAAAATTACGTAACTAGGTCACTGATTACGTCACAAGGTCACCACCGGTGACCTACTGACCTACTGACCTACTCCCCATCCGCATCCTTGCGCATCCTCCCCATCCCCATCCGCATCCCCATCCCCATCCCCATCCGCATCCCCATCCGGAGTATTTTACTATATGTCTTTGCGCCTGCGGCTCCTTCACCCTGCGCCTGCGCCTGCGGCTGGAGTATTTTACTATATCTCGTTGTCCCTGCGGCGCATCCCCATCCCGAGTATTTTACTATATCTCGTTGTCCCTGCGGCGCCTGCGCATCCCCCTGCGCATCCGAGTATTTTCCTATATATCCTTTGCGCATCCTGGGTGCGCCTGCGCCTGCGGATACTAATCAAAAGGGACCTAATATACTACTCACCTTACTAAAGTCACTTTACTAAAGCCACCTTACTAAAGCCACCTTACTAAAGTCACCTTACTAAAGTCACTTTACTAAAGCCACCTTACTAAAGTCACTTTACTAAAGCCACCTTACTAAAGTCACTTTACTAAAGCCACCTTACTAAAGTAACTTTACTAAAGCCACCTTACTAAAGTCACTTTACTAAAGCCACCTTACTAAAGTCACTTTACTTAAGCCACCTTACTAAAGCCACCTTAACTAAAGCCACCTTACTAAAGCCACCTTAACTAAAGCCACCTTTACTAAAGCCACCTTACTAAAGCCACCTTACTAAAGTCGCTTTACTAAAGCCACCTTTACTAAAGCCACCTTACTAAAGCCACCTTACTAAAGTCGCTTTACTAAAGCCACCTTAACTAAAGACACCATTACTAAAGCCACCTTACTAAAGCCACCTTTACTAAAGCCACCTTACTAAAGCCACCTTAACTAAAGCCACCTTTACTAAAGCCACCTTACTAAAGCCACCTTACTAAAGTCGCTTTACTAAAGCCACCTTTACTAAAGCCACCTTACTAAAGCCACCTTACTAAAGTCGCTTTACTAAAGCCACCTTAACTAAAGACACCATTACTAAAGCCACCTTACTAAAGTCACTTTACTAAAGCCACCTGTATATAGCTGCCGGCACTAAAGACCAAAGAACACAAGAACAAAAGGATGTTTGTTTTCATGTTTTCTTTATTCTGTATTCAAAATCTCAGATTCAAATAAAAATACTGAAAAAATTATATGCAAATGTAAGCAAAATAATTCGTTCAAAAATGTATTCTTCTGACTAGCATAAATGACATTTTAGCACATTTTATTTTCGCTTCCTCCTTCACCATATCACATTCGCACATTCCTGAGGCGTGTTTTAAAAAGAAAAAACGTAACACACTTAGAATCAGCTCAGCTGTCAACTTATTTTACAACGAATGTACAACTCAAGTCATTAAACAAAGTACAACTCAAGTCATTAAATAAAGTACAACTCAAGTTATTAAACAAACACATGAAAATCCTCTCAACATTTTTCGCCGACAGCCTGTCAATAATTTGGTCAATAGACTATGGTTTTGTTCGTGAGCACATTAATACAGTAGGTTGGTTGAATTCCAAGGGGTTATTTAAAACGTCTTCAATCAGCTTTGTTTTGTAACGGTCCACATACATAACTTCAATTTTAACAAGTCGCGTCTAAAATATGACAATTCTCACCTAAAGAATGACTATTCTCTTCTAAAGAAGGACAGATCACTTCTAAAGTAGCAGAACACATCCTCTCGCACAAGAATTGATTGCATAATGAAAAGCTTTGAGCTCAACGTATAACATCATGTCAGATATTGTAAAGTAAACGATCCTCTTTAGACCTAGCGATCCATTGGGCAGATCAAGTAGAATACATATTTCTTGACCTCGGCATATGAAGGGATAATGTGGTCAACTCTATGTCCAGCCGCCTTTAATTTCCCTAACTTAAGAGCTGGGTGAACTCTATACTTTTGGATTAGCAGTCTAGCGCTGTACGGCTAGGCCACTGCGTATCATATAAGAGTGTCGGTCCCTAAAGTGAAATTAAAAGCGCCGTTACAGAACTATCCTGCATTGTAGTTTTTAACAAGAGATTCTCCCTATGATCAACATCCTTATCAAAAAGTGAGCCCTCCTTTTACAAAACTATTTAGTACGCAAAGACAACTCATTTATTTTTAATTATGTAAGCATAAATAATATTCACAAATTATAATGTCAATTGAAACAAGTCAATCAAAGATGCATATGTGTAACACAGTAGATAGGCATGAATTTTGTTAACACTTTAGAACCTGAAAAGTAAGAAGAGAAACAATGAGGTTTTTGTAACCTTTAAATGAACATTTCAGTGAAAAATTACTTTCTTTTTCAAACATTATTGAAAATGTATTTTATTTTAAAACCATAACTAGGTTGTGATTGAGGACGATGCCGTTTTATATTTGGTTGTAATACAAGTTGTCAGAATGTTTTATATTTGGTGTGATTTAGTTGGGAATACAAAAGTTGTCAGAATGTTTTATATTTGGTGTGATTTAGTTGGGAATACAAAAGTTGTCAGAATGTTTTATATTTGGTGTGATTTAGTTGGGAATACAAAAGTTGTCAGAATGTTTTATATTTGGTGTGATTTAGTTGGAAATACAAAAGTTGTCAGAATGTTTTCTATTTCGTGTGATTTAGTTGGGAATACAAAAGTTGTCAGAATGTTTTATATTTGGTGTGATTTAGTTGGGAATACAAAAGTTGTCAGAATGTTTTATATTTGGTGTGATTTAGTTGGGAATACAAAAGTTGTCAGAATGTTTTATATTTGGTGTGATTTAGTTGGGAATACAAAAGTTGTCAGAATGTTTTATATTTGGTGTGATTTAGTTGGGAATACAAAAGTTGTCAGAATGTTTATATTTGGTGTGATTTAGTTGGGAATACAAAAGTTGTCAGAATGTTTTATATTTGGTGTGATTTAGTTGGGAATACAAAAGTTGTCAGAATGTTTTATATTTGGTGTGATTTAGTTGGGAATACAAAAGTTGTCAGAATGTAAAAACCCGTTGGTACATGCGAGCTAGGAATGTAGAACACATTGAAAGACGATCCTCAAAGCCCGACACTAATCTTATGCCACAAGCTTTTGGAGACTCCCTGACAAGCAAAATCTGTTCACTTAGGATCCTGACACATTTGACGACAAAAAAAATAAACAGCCAATTTATATATCTAAAATTATAAATTGACTGCTTTTAAAAATATGATGGTGCAATGTTTTCAAATAAATCATACAAAGTTTATTATACTTAAATCAGTTTTCATGAAGCTTAAATAATACCATCAAGCATAGATCATAGTTTTCATGAAGCTTAAATAATACCATCAAGCATAGATCATACAGTTTTCATGAAGCTTAAATCATACAGCTTTCATGCGAGAAACTAGTTTGTTAGAAAGCTGGAAAAACTGTCAGAGACACCTTACAATAAAGATGTGAAGCTTTTAGTAGTGTGGCATTGTAACATTGAGTAGTGTAGTACTTGAATGTTAGCATTGTAACAATTGTAGCAGGTGATCCAAGAGACGACTGTGAAATGCGGTACCTGCAGTCATTTGTATGTCTTTGATCTGAGTACAGACCGGCGCAAGACCTTCATATGTACAGGGCTAGTAAGAAACCTTTTCTTAAACTATTTGGATAACTGATCTTTACCCAAGTTTCTGGCATTCAAACAGTGCCATTTTTAAAAATGTCGGATGAGACTCAATTAGCGACGTAATTAACAAAACTAATGAGCATAGGGTCAAGCTAGCTGCTCGTGTGATGCTGTCATATGGACTTCTGGTCCAATTGAAGGAGTATAGAGCATCAAATAAAGGTCAAAGGTTTTACTATGATGGAGTCAACAAACGTTTTCAGGGCAAGTTCTAGGATCGTTTCTCTTACAGGCCTGCTCGAGACAGTTAAACAGAGATGATCCTAGTCTTCTAACCAGAGATGATCCTAGTCTTCTAACCAGAGATGATCCTAGTCTTCTAACCAGAGATGATCGTAGTCTTCTAACCAGGACCAAACGTGACCCACTCAGGTGACCTCACTATGTGTGGCTCATTGAGTTGACCTCACTATGTGTGGCTCATTGAGTTGACCTAACTATGTGTGGCTCATTGAGTTGACCTAACTATGTGTGGCTCATTGAGTTGGCAACAAACCGCTCCATTAAAAAGAATGATGAAAGAATCCTGTCTAGAAGTTATCCTCATGAAAGAGTAACCATTGAAAAGTTGTGTTGGTCAAATATAAGAATCACAGCTAGTTGTCCGTTAACAGGAGTTCTATCGTCTAAAAAGTGCTACTGTATGTGACTACGGTATTTTTCTTGAAGTAGAAACAAAGTAGCACTAAGATCTACAGTAGAGATCTGACACCACTAGCCATATTACAAAAAGTCCGGGTGCTATTCACTCATTCCTAGCTGTTGTATGTACAATTTAAATAGCAGTTGTTTAGCAGCTTATTCACAATCCCCAATCAAAGAAATCAGCCTGTTTAAATCGACCTGTCTCTAGCCAACTCTACACTAAACAAACTCCACTGTGACGCTGTATTTATGTAGTTAGTTGTTAACAGACGATAGATCAACCAGTCAAGTCCAGATTAGAAATATTCAACTCTATGCCAGTCACTCAACACTTGTGACTACACACATAGAAGCATCAGCTTGCCATACCGACACACTTATCAAACTGGCCATGCTTGTTTCAGTTCATTCTGTGTTTAGTGCGACACTGCATGGAACACACGATGTGTGTTACCACTGTGTTAAATAGTACAAGAATCTGATGGTTTCACCTCCTACATGCACCATTGTATGTCTCAGGGGGCCAATCATTTCTTGACATAGCTGCCTTTGGATGCTGCACAGTAGCGTCGGCTGGGAAAGACATTTTAAATTTAAATCATTCTCTCATTTCAAGAGATTTTAAAATATCTAGTAGTTGAAAGAAAATCATTTTAAACTTAAATCATTCTCTCATTTCAAGACATTTTAAAATATCTAGTAGTTGAAAGAAAATCATTTTAAACTTCAATCATTCTCTCATTTCAAGAGATTTTAAAATATCTAGTAGTTGAAAGAAAATCATTTTAAACTTCAATCATTCTCTCATTTCAAGAGATTTTAAAATATCTAGTAGTTGAAAGAAAATCATTTTAAACTTAAATCATTCTCTCATTTCAAGAGATTTTAAAATATCTAGTAGTTGAAAGAAAATCATTTTAAACTTAAATCATTCTTTCATTTCAAGAGATTTTAAAATATCTAGTAGTTGAAAGAAAATCATTTTAAACTTAAATCATTCTCTCATTTCAAGAGATTTTAAAATATCTAGTAGTTGAAAGTAAATCATTTTAAAAATATTCTCTTACAAAATGCAAGCTACCTTAGACATTTGACAGAAGAATGGAGAGACTCATGATGGAACTCACCTCTTTTTCCCTTAATCTCGAATCCAAATTGTCGCCCACTTCCCTCAGCATATCTACAATACTCCTGACTGCCTCGCTCTCCTGGGGGACCTGGGGGGAGGGGCGCCTCCTGTCTGAAGGCCCATATGACATCAAAATGTCGGAGTCTACAGGTGCATTGTGGTCCTGGACAGACACCTGCCCAACGGTCGGGCCACACATCCTGCTCTCTACCAACTGCTGACTGTCCCCGCTGGTCGGTGGATGTGTTGGCTGGTGTGACCTCTGGTGTGACCTCTGGTGTGACCTCTGGTGTGACCCCCGGCTGTGCTCAACTTGCGAAGCTGCCTGGCGAGCACAGTGACAAGGACAGACGAGGGGGTTCACTGGGGCCACTCTGGTGAAAGCCTCAGGCACTTCTCTAGACGCGCCAGCAACGAGATCAGGCAGGCCAAAACGTTTGGTTTGTCTTCCACGAGGCAACTCTGTGAAAACAAGATTTCAGTCAGTTACTTCGTAATCTGGTCAAACAGTGCAGTGGTGCCACTAGGTAGGGTGACACCTGCTGCTGTACCTCGAAGTGTCACAGATATAAATCTCATGTACTAAAACTAGAGGTACTTTGGTGTCATCCCTTTGAGTATGTTATATGAATCTCATGTACTAAAACTAGAGGTACTTTGGTGTCATCCCTTTGAGTATGTTATATGAATCTCATGTACTAAAACTAGAGGTACTTTGGTGTCATCCCTTTGAGTATGTTATATAAATCTCATGTACTAAAACTAGAGGTACTTTGGTGTCACCCCTTTGAGTATGTTATATAAATCTCATGTACTAAAACTAGAGGTACTTTGGTGTCATCCCTTTGAGTATGTTATCTTCCCCGAATGGTGTATACAACTTAAAAGTTGTTCAACGAAATGGTAAAAGCCGATCTCTCTCGTGTTACCCACTTGAATGGCGTTTCCTGGTGTCCCCCCCCCCCTCCCTCAGCTTTGTGATGCTAATTAATCTATGCATGAATTTTATTTGAAATCCAGTTTAACGTCAGTGTTTCTTTCAGACTTTTTTCTCCGGAGGGGCACTTGAAATTTTCGGTGAAGGGGGGCCGACACTGGTAAAAGTATACATTTTCTATATAAATTCCATTTCGTTCGGGCGGTTTTCGGGGGGGGGGGGGGGGGGCTATGCTTGGAAGAAACTCTGTTAATAGTTAATTTGTGCAATATTTTCCTTCTTATGTTAATTATTAGAAGTCACAATGTCGGTGGGGGGGGGGAGCAAATACATGTTTTTTCTAAATCTACTTTTTATTTCATAAACCTCAACATCATCTCATATACTGTGATGATTGTAAACATCAGCACATAATGAGTGCCCATTTATACCTAACATCCGTTAAAGAGCAGCCTAACAAAAAATCCACTCAGAATAAAGTTCACGCAGTAGGAATGAATTGGAAATGTAATCATGTTTTGAAATTCACAAAACGTAGACAGTAACTATCGCATTAAAAATAATCCAGTTATGAATTCACAAACCTTTGAAAAAAACAAAAGCAAATGATGAGAGATTTATAAAATAATAAACTGCGTCAACAATCTTACATTTCCCATCCAGACGGCTGGTCCTCTCATCCTACGACTACAAGACAATGTTCTAGACTGCCGCCACACTTTGTTTCACGCGATCGTTCAAATCAAGTTGACTGTTTTCAAATTTGGTGGACTTGTGTTGAACGCGACGTCTACTTATACTGCGAACTCTGGTCTCATATAACAACCAATCAGAAAGCGAATGTCTGATATTATTATTAGGTAAGCAGGTCAATGATGGCGTCCTTGCTTGTAACCAAAATAGTGGCGCTAAGAGTGTGTAGTTTACTCACAAGTAAAGAGACACAGATTCTAATGACACACCATCCACTGGCGCGTAGCAGGAACATCAACTGACATCATGTTTTAAAATTACTAGGTGGTGTAACCAGCTCATAGAATTAGATCAGTTCGGGAATTCCCAGCAGCTTTGTTGACAAACGCAGTAAGCAACACAATCTAATTTAGATCTATACGGCATAGGAATTCTAATTTTAGAATTTATACGGCACACGAATCCTAACTTAGAAAGCATATTTTTAAAAGAAAGAACCACCTCATATTGGATGTCTGAGGTTCATGTTCAAGACGGATGTCTGAGGTTCATGTTCAAGACGGATGTCTGAGGTTCATGTTCAAGACGGAAGTAGAACTTTGTTATTCACACCTCATAGACTCCCCCTTGTTAGGTTACGTCATCATTGCCAGCAAATTAAAAAAGTAGCAAACGTTAGCTCCGACTTAATGTTGATTACAGATAGCAAACGTTAGCTCCAACTTATTTGTTGATTACAGATAGCAAACGTTAGCTCCGACTTAATGTTGATTACAGATAGCAAACGTTAGCTCCAACTTAATGTTGATTACAGATAGCAAACGTTAGCTCCAACTTAATGTTGATTACAGATAGCAAACGTTAGCTCCGACTTAATGTTGATTACAGATAGCAAACGTTAGCTCCGACTTAATGTTGATTACAGATAGCAAACGTTAGCTCCGACTTAATGTTGATTACAGATAGCAAACGTTAGCTCAAACTTAATGTTGATTACAGATAGCAAACGTTAGCTCCGACTTAATGTTGATTACAGATAGCAAACGTTAGCTCCAACTTAATGTTGATTACAGATAGCAAACGTTAGCTCCAACTTAATGTTGATTACAGATAGCAAACGTTAGCTCCGACTTAATGTTGATTACAGATAGCAAACGTTAGCTCCGACTTAATGTTGATTACAGATAGCAAACGTTAGCTCCAACTTATTTGTTGATTACAGATAGCAAACGTTAGCTCCGACTTAATGTTGATTACAGATAGCAAACGTTAGCTCCAACTTATTTGTTGATTACAGATAGCAAACGTTAGCTCCGACTTAATGTTGATTACAGATAGCAAACGTTAGCTCCGACTTAATGTTGATTACAGATAGCAAACGTTAGCTCCGACTTAATGTTGATTACAGATAGCAAACGTTAGCTCCGACTTATTTGTTGATTACAGATAGCAAACTTTAGCTCCGACTTAATGTTGATTACAGATAGCAAACGTTAGCTCCGACTTATTTGTTGATTACAGATAGCAAACGTTAGCTCCGACTTAATGTTGATTACAGATAGCAAACGTTAGCTCCGACTTAATGTTGATTACAGATAGCAAACGTTAGCTCCGACTTAATGTTGATTACAGATAGCAAACGTTAGCTCCGACTTAATGTTGATTACAGATAGCAAACGTTAGCTCCGACTTAATGTTGATTACAGATAGCAAACGTTAGCTCCGACTTAATGTTGATTACAGATAGCAAACGTTAGCTCCGACTTAATGTTGATTACAGATAGCAAACGTTAGCTCCGACTTAATGTTGATTACAGATAGCAAACGTTAGCTCCGACTTAATGTTGATTACAGATAGCAAACGTTAGCTCCGACTTAATGTTGATTACAGATAGCAAACGTTAGCTCCGACTTAATGTTGATTACAGATAGCAAACGTTAGCTCCGACTTAATGTTGATTACAGATAGCAAACGTTAGCTCCGACTTATTTGTTGATTACAGATAGCAAACGTTAGCTCCGACTTAATGTTGATTACAGATAGCAAACGTTATCTCCGACGTAATTATGATTACAGTTGCAGACTATTACAGATAGCAAACAGTAGCAGACGATAGCAACAGTTCAAGTCAACTCTCTGCTCTAATTGTTGGGACCTTATCACATAGGACTCGTGACGTAATCAATAAGACGACAGAGGCTAATCATGTACCTTTAATTGTTTACGTATTTGAAAGAATTATCAATTAAATAACATTTTTTGTTAGCTAAGTATTATATTCTGTCTACTTGTATCATTTTATTATTGTATGTTTTCATTAGTCTCCAAAAGTTCTTTCAACAAGTATATATATATATATATATATATATATATATATATGTGTGTGTGTGTGTGTGTGTGTGTGTGTATGTGTGTCTGTGTGTCTGTGTGGCTAGAAACCTAACAGTAGTGGTGAGAGGATCATTGTCTACAGGTGGGTTGTTCAATACAGGTAAAAATAAGCCATCGATTGCTCGCCTCACTCTCCAGTTTTTCAGCCAATCAGTGAGACTGTCCAATGTTAGCTGGGTGAGACTGTCCCATGTTAGCTGGGACCAAAATAACCAAAACATGATTTCTTGTGCCACTCAACTAATGAAACCAGTACAAACGACGATAGTGTCTTCTTCACCTGTTACTGATCTCTCTTATTAAAGAGTTAGTGATTGCACTGCAGTTTTTGTTGTTTTTAAAATGATTTGACACCAGTTTCTTTAGACCTTCAGATATCAAGTGGATGAGGTGGAATCCATGGTTATACATGCGGTGCGAGCATAAAAGTCGAAGACAATAGGCTTAGTTTAAACCAGCAGATAAGTGGACTTAACATATTGTGATGTTTGAAAAAGTTGAATCCACGAACAAGCTAGACAGGACGTTTCCACAAGATCCCATCCACAGCTCGGTCTGCTATATCCACTACTAGACTCATCGAGCGACGTGAATTCAGTCACCGTGACTAATGCGATGCGTTGAAACAGTGTCCTTCAAACCACAATGAACAATACCTAGGCAACGCAATAAGGACAAGGATTTGACGCGCGTGCACGCATGCGCATTTAACGTTTGCAAGATAGGGCGGTGACCGCGGCAGTAGCGGAACTTTATTTACCACCTGATCAAGTTGAATTCACACTCCGTCTTTTATTATTGTTTACAGAGGACTCTGTACAACCACACGAGAAAATGCTTTTATAGGGCTGTGGTAGTGTTGTGTTCGTGACCTCACCCCGACCCCAGCTGTAGTATTGTGACCTCCGGTTTTTGTTGTAAATATCAAAGAACATAGAAGGCATGAAATAGCACGGTGGCTCACTTCTGTGACCAGAACACACATGGGGACATGGGCGAGGTTGTAATCTAGCATTGTCGTAGCATACTTTTGGCATTTGAAAAGAAATATTAAAATCATGTACATTTCCATTAAAGAAATATAGAAATCATGTACATTTCCATTAAAGAAATGTAGAAATCATGTACATTTCCATTAAAGAAATGTAGAAATCATGTACATTTCCATTAAAGAAATGTAGAAATCATGTACATTTCCATTACAGGTCTAACTAAAGGACATATAGCATGTAGAATTTCACGGAGCCAGTTTGAGATGGGAGGGGGGGGGGGACGAGAGCTGAGGGCCCAAAGTCTTATGAGATGTGATGATGGGGTCGAGTATTAGCTCAAATAGTTACATCGTACATGGATAACCCCTCACCGGATGTAGGAAACGATGGCTGTTTTGCCTGACGCGAGTTTACTGGATACCACACAAGACGTATGTTTGTAGCAGTGAAAAGGTTAAAGACACGAGACTTGAATCAACTCAAAGACCACCTGTGTTGGAGGTGGGGGGACAGGGGTGGACTGGTCCGTCGGTTTACCGGGAAAAATCCCGGTTGGTCCTCAGGTAAAAAATCCCAGTTGGTCCTCAGGTAAAAAATCCCGGTTGGTCCTCAGGTAAAAAATCCCGGTTGGTCCTCAGGTGAAAAATCCAAGTTGGTCCTCAGGTAAAAAATCCCGGTTGGTCCTCAGGTAAAAAATCCCGGTTGGTCATCAGGTAAAAAAAATCCCGGTTGGTCCTCAGGTAAAAAATCCCGGTTGGTCCTCAGGTAAAAAATCCCGGTTGGTCCTCAGGTAAAAAATCCCGGTTGGTCCTCAGGTAAAAAAAATCCCGGTTGGTCCTCAGGTAAAAAATCCCGGTTGGTCCTCAGGTAAAAAATCCCGGTTGGTCCTCAGGTAAAAAATCCCGGTTGGTCCTCAGGTAAAAAATCCCGGTTGGTCATCAGGTAAAAAAAATCCCGGTTGGTCCTCAGGTAAAAAATCAGAAAAAAAAATCCCGGTTGGTCCTCAGGTAAAAAATCCCAGTTGGTCCTCAGGTAAAAAATCCCGGTTGGTCCTCAGGTAAAAAATCCCAGTTGGCCCTCAGGTAAAAAATCCCAGTTGGTCCTCAGGTAAAAAATCAGAAAAAAAAATCCCGGTTGGTCCTCAGGTAAAAAATCCCAGTTGGTCCTCAGGTAAAAAATCCCAGTTGGTCCTCAGGTAAAAAATCCCGGTTGGTCCTCAGGTAAAAAATCCCGGTTGGTCCTCAGGTGAAAAATCCCAGTTGGTCCTCAGGTAAAAAATCCCGGTTGGTCCTCAGGTAAAAAATCCCGGTTGGTCATCAGGTAAAAAAAATCCCGGTTGGTCCTCAGGTAAAAAATCAGAAAAAAAAATCCCGGTTGGTCCTCAGGTAAAAAATCCCAGTTGGTCCTCAGGTAAAAAATCCCGGTTGGTCCTCAGGTAAAAAATCCCAGTTGGCCCTCAGGTAAAAAATCCCAGTTGGTCCTCAGGTAAAAAATCAGAAAAAAAAATCCCGGTTGGTCCTCAGGTAAAAAATCCCAGTTGGTCCTCAGGTAAAAAATCCCGGTTGGTCCTCAGGTAAAAAATCCCAGTTGGTCCTCAGGTAAAAAATCCCAGTTGGTCCTCAGGTAAAAAATCCCAGTTGGTCCTCAGGTAAAAAATCCCAGTTGGTCCTCAGGTAAAAAATCCCAGTTGGTCCTCAGGTAAAAAATCCCGGTTGGTCCTCAGGTAAAAAATCCCAGTTGGTCCTCAGGTAAAAAATCCCAGTTGGTCCTCAGGTAAAAAATCCCAGTTGGTCCTCAGATAAAAAATCCCAGTTGGTCCTCAGGTAAAAAATCCCAGTTGGCCCTCAGGTAAAAAATCCCAGTTGGTCCTCAGGTAAAAAATCCCAGTTGGTCCTCAGATAAAAAATCCCAGTTGGTCCTCAGGTAAAAAATCCCAGTTGGCCCTCAGGTAAAAAATCCCAGTTGGTCCTCAGGTAAAAAATCCCGGTTGGTCCTCAGGTAAAAAATCCCAGTTGGTCCTCAGGTAAAAAATCCCAGTTGGTCCTCAGGTAAAAAATCCCAGTTGGTCCTCAGGTAAAAAATCCCAGTTGGTCCTCAGGTAAAAAATCCCAGTTGGTCCTCGGGTAAAAAAAAAAAAAAGAACCGTGCTGTACTAGGTCTTTTGGTGCTTTGATTTAAAAAAAAATATGGCGCGAATTTCCATCAAGCTGAGGACGATCATATCATTAGGTTTGATGGCGTGGGGGGGGGGGGGGGGGGGATGCACAGTGAAAATTTCAATCGGGAGTTGGGAAACCTTTTAAAATGTCCCGGGCCCCTTTGGCACAGCCAGTCCACCCCTGGGAGAGGGCAAGGTTAACGACACGTGACTTGATGGACTAAAGACCATGTGTGTTGGTGGAGAGAGGGGTTCAACCATGTGTCTTGGTGGAGAGAGGGGTTCAACCATGTGTCTTGGTGGAGAGAGGGGTTCAACCATGTGTCTTGGTGGAGAGAGGGGTTCAGCCATGTGTCTTGGTGGAGAGAGGGGTTCAACCATGTGTCTTGGTGGAGAGAGGGGTTCAACCATTGTGTCTTGGTGGAGAGAGGGGTTCAGCCATGTGTCTTGGTGGAGAGAGGGGTTCAACTCGACGGTTAATCATCAGTCATCAGTAAAAAGAATAATTCCGTAATTAATTTAAATGTTTATAGATAAAAATAAAAAATGACTTCAACAGTGTGTAGTGCATCTAAGGCAAACAAAAGTAGGCATATTTCAGTGCCATTTATTTATGTTTAAATCTAGGTTAAACCAAAGAAGATTTCGACAATGATAACTTTGAAAACAAATAACATAAATTATAAAACTATAACATAGGTCTACATCTAGTTTATCCTATACCCCTTTCTGTATACATTTGTACCTATTTCATGCACAAAGAGCAGTCAATATTTACCCGATTCAAATCGGATTGTGTATGCTGATACCCAAATCTAACATTGATACTATATTTAGCAACAACGTAGAGTAGCAAGTCGATAGCGAGGCACGATAGATTCAGATCTAGTAAGTTTCCATTCAACTCGTTTCTTTTCTATGTGTATGTGGTGATGAGACAAGCATATGACGGCACTTGCACAGCGGTGGGGGAGAGGGGGGGGGGAGAGAGGTGAGACGCTTCTAGGCAATACGTCATTACGGAAATCCCCAAAGTATCAAGTCGTGAATCAATGAGTGTGAAACTATTTTAGGAACAACTTCAATACATCTCTTTATTTAATTTCGGAAGTGATTTTCCCTAATCTGACTAACGGGCCTCGGCAATAAGCGGACATTACAAGTAGAAAAATTCGATCGATGATTGATCGAATGTGTCAGTCATTGAATTTTGTTTATAGTGCATTGTCCTAAATAAAAGATAACGTTTAATCGATCGCTGTTTAAATCTTTAAGACAGATTCTAAACTTTTAACGTTATAATGTCAAACCGACTTTTTTTTAAATCAGAGAATAAAGGCTTATATGTGTGCCTCTATATTTTTTTATTTGTGTTTAGTGTAAGAAAATAAAACAATAAAAATAATGTTTCATGCTCAGACTGAGCAATCGTTATTCATATTGTGCATGTGGGTGTTGTGGATGTTGGTATCAAGATTCTCACTCGCTCACACACTGTCTAGCAGAAATTGTTTTGTGTTAGCCTCAAGCACTCATCAGTGATATGATATTGTGTGTGTGTGTGTGTGTGTGTGTGAGCTCAAGCACTCATCAGTGATACGATATTGTGTGTGTGTGTGTGTGTGTGTGTGTGTGTGTGTGAGCTCAAGCACTCATCAGTGATACGATATTTTCTGTGTGTGTGTGTGTGTGTGAGCTCAAGCACTCATCAGTGATACGATATTTTCTGTGTGTGTGTGTGTGTGTGTGAGCTCAAGCACTCATCAGTGATATGATATTGTGTGAGTGTGTGTGTGTGTGTGTGAGAGAGAGAGAGCTCAAGCACTCATCAGTGATATGATATTGTGTGTGTGTGTGTGTGTGTGTGAGCTCAAGCACTCATCAGTGATATGATATTGTGTGAGTGTGTGTGTGTGTGTGTGAGAGAGAGAGAGCTCAAGCACTCATCAGTAATATGATATTTTCTGTGTGTGGGTGTGAGCGCGCGCTCCTTCATGTTACGCTAGTAGAGGTTCTATTATAATACATTTGTAGATTGTAAAAATGTATTAACTAACTCCCAGTTTTAAGCGCTCTATCGAATTAACTTTTCTGTTGAGGCCTTTGGAAGAATGAGTTATAGAAATGATTTGTACAAAGAAAACAGATACATCTATTACAACAAGCAGACCTAGCTATATGTATATATATATATATATATACATATATATATATATATATATATATATATATATATATATATATATATATATATACATTGCGCTTCTCTGCTAATTTAAAAGTGTGCTATTTAGTTTAATATGTAGGAGATTGGGAAGAAATGTGTTAAGAAAAAGTGTGAAATTTACCTTGTAGGATATTGGAAAGAAATGTGTTAAGAAAAAGTGTGAAATTTACCTTGTAGGATATTGGAAAGAAATGTGTTAAGAAAAAGTGTGAAATTTACCTTGTAGGATATTGGAAAGAAATGTGTTAAGAAAAAGTGTGAAATTTACCTTGTAGGAGATTGGGAAGAAATGTGTTAAGAAATAATGTGAAATTTACCTTGTAGGAGGTTGGGAAGAAATGTGTTAAGAAAAAGTGTGAAATTTACCTTGTAGGAGATCTGGGAGGAATTGCTTTGGTTGAGTAGGCTCGGCTAAGGTAAGGTCGGCTATGGTAAGCTGGCGTCCACACGATCTTTTCAAGCAAACGAGTAGTCTGCGAAGTAGGTGTAACAAGCCCTCCACACCGTCACAGACCAGAATAAAAAATGTTTGTCCTTGGCACCGGCCATGGGTCACCAGGGACAGGATATCTTTAGCTCCGCTCCATTGCCGCTCCATCTGGCCAGTTCCTTGACTGGCCAGTGTCAGTCTGGCATGGCTGGATGACAACTCCACGTCAACAATGTCCATTGTCAACACAGCAAGCTTGAAAATTTAAACACTGTTCAGTATACACAACATTATCATTATGCTAAAATACACTTTTTTTTAATAATCTACACAATGGTTCATACCAGGATAATATACAGGGATTTAAAATTTTTTAACTTGCATTCAGTGTATCTTTTTATTAGCAATAGTAAGCTATTATTTTTTTATTTTTGAATCGAATGCAGCACATCAGCTTCTGGTATTGACGAAATGGTTGAGAGCCATTATAAAATGTGTAGCGTTTAACGGATATTTACAACAACAAAAAAGCGGAGCGTTGACTGTCTGCGCACACGTGCGGACTTGTTTTGTTTTTCTTTGTAGTAGAGCGAGAGAAATCCGCCGCTTCTCTCCCGCCTGCTGCCGTAATGTTTACCTTGGTGGCGGCCAATCAAATGTCGCCATCGACCGTGGGAACAAAAATAACCAATGAAACCCGCGCGCGACGCCTGGCAATAATAGACGATGACGAATAATGAGCCAATGAGCAAGAACGTGAATTTACTAGTCTAGTCATATCACTAAATCTTACTTCATATGCAAGAGATTGTAGATTTGCAATTTTGATGTCAAGTATAAATTATGTGACCAGTTGGAGATACAGAATAGTTTAAGGCTTCTGCGGTCTTAATTATTAGCCCCCGCCATTGAGCTTCAACTACCCTGCGGTCCGAACTTTAAAAACCAGCGCTCTCTTCCTGACCACGGCGTCTCTTGCTGAGATCTTTCTTTTGGCGTGGAAATACCTCCCCCCCACCCCGCTATTATTTGAATGATGTCTAGGTCAGCGTGAACCTCATAGACCTTACAGCTTGGAGAGTACTGCTTCAGCAGCTGGAGAGTACTGCTTCAGCAGCTGGAGAGTACTGCTTCTGCAGCTGGAGAGTACTGCTTCAGCAGCTGGAGAGTACTGCTTCAGCAGCTGGAGAGTACTGCTTCTGCAGCTGGAGAGTACTGCTTATGCAGCTGGAGAGTACTGCTTCAGCAGCTGGAGAGTACTGCTTCAGCAGCTGGAGAGTACTGCTTCTGCAGCTGGAGAGTACTGTTTCTGCAGCTGGAGAGTACTGCTTATGCAGCTGGAGAGTACTGCTTCAGCAGCTGGAGAGTACTGCTTCTGCAGCTGGAGAGTACTGTTTCTGCAGCTGGAGAGTACTGCTTATGCAGCTGGAGAGTACTGCTTCAGCAGCTGGAGAGTACTGCTTCTGCAGCTGGAGAGTACTGCTTCAGCAGCTGAAGAGTACTGCTTCAGCAGCTGGAGAGTACTGCTTCAGCAGCTGGAGAGTACTACTTCAGCAGCTGGAGAGTACTGCTTCAGCAGCTGAAGAGTACTGCTTCAGCAGCTGGAGAGTACTGCTTCTGCAGCTGAAGAGTACTGCTTCAGCAGCTGGAGAGTACTGCTTCTGCAGCTGGAGAGTACTGCTTCAGCAGCTGGAGAGTACTGCTTCTGCAGCTGGAGAGTACTGTTTCTGCAGCTGGAGAGTACTGCTTATGCAGCTGGAGAGTACTGCTTCAGCAGCTGGAGAGTACTGCTTCTGCAGTTGGAGAGTACTGCTTCAGCAGCTGAAGAGTACTGCTTCAGCAGCTGGAGAGTACTGCTTCAGCAGCTGGAGAGTACTGCTTCTGCAGCTGGAGAGTACTGCTTATGCAGCTGGAGAGTACTGCTTCAGCAGCTGGAGAGTACTGCTTCAGCAGCTGGAGAGTACTGCTTCTGCAGCTGGAGAGTACTGTTTCTGCAGCTGGAGAGTACTGCTTATGCAGCTGGAGAGTACTGCTTCAGCAGCTGGAGAGTACTGCTTCTGCAGCTGGAGAGTACTGTTTCTGCAGCTGGAGAGTACTGCTTATGCAGCTGGAGAGTACTGCTTCAGCAGCTGGAGAGTACTGCTTCCGCAGCTGGAGAGTACTGCTTCAGCAGCTGAAGAGTACTGCTTCAGCAGCTGGAGAGTACTGCTTCAGCAGCTGGAGAGTACTACTTCAGCAGCTAGAGAGTACTGCTTCAGCAGCTGAAGAGTACTGCTTCAGCAGCTGGAGAGTACTGCTTCTGCAGCTGAAGAGTACTGCTTCAGCAGCTGGAGAGTACTGCTTCTGCAGCTGGAGAGTACTGCTTCAGCAGCTGGAGAGTACTGCTTCTGCAGCTGGAGAGTACTGTTTCTGCAGCTGGAGAGTACTGCTTATGCAGCTGGAGAGTACTGCTTCAGCAGCTGGAGAGTACTGCTTCTGCAGCTGGAGAGTACTGCTTCAGCAGCTGAAGAGTACTGCTTCAGCAGCTGGAGAGTACTGCTTCAGCAGCTGGAGAGTACTACTTCAGCAGCTGGAGAGTACTGCTTCTGCAGCTGGAGAGTACTGCTTCAGCAGCTGGAGAGTACTGCTTCTGCAGTTGGAGAGTACTGCTTCAGCAGCTGGAGAGTACTGCTTCAGCAGCTGAAGAGTACTGCTTCTGCAGTTGAAGAGTACTGCTTCAGCAGCTGGAGAGTACTGCTTCAGCAGCTGGAGAGTACTGCTTCAGCAGCTGGAGAGTACTGCTTCAGCAGCTGAAGAGTACTGCTTCAGCAGCTGAAGAGTACTGCTTCTGCAGCTGGAGAGTACTGCTTCAGCAGCTGGAGAGTACTGCTTCAGCAGCTGAAGAGTACTGCTTGAATTTCTAGTGAAAAGAAAAGATGTCTTTTTTTAAAGTGTATAAGCCATTATTGTTTATTGGACACAAAATATGTTAAAAAGGTAGAATTAGCTTTTTTTTTTAGGTCGCAATCTGAAGTCGCTGGGTAGATGGGTGTTTGTAGGTGGGTTTATGGTCAAATCTTGTTACTCAATTTCAAATGCATGGATTTCTTTCAAACATTTTAGATATTTTGTTCTTCCGTTGACATACGAAAAATATCTGACTTAAGCTTTTTTTCTCTTAACAAATTAATTTTAAGATTAAAAAAATTCTTTTCAGCAATAAAGAGGGAGATAACAAAATTAAAACTACCGACTCTAATAAGGACCAAGGGATTGTCGTTACTGTTTGGGTGTAGTGGAAGATCAACGAGGAATTTTTTTTTTTAATTTCCACATGTGTGTGGGTGTGTCAGAGTTTCTTCCAGGCATCTCATCGGGGGGGGGGGGGGGAGGCGGCGGCGTACCCCCCCCCCACCCCCACCCCCCCACCCCCACCGTAGAAAGTCTACCGCCCCACTCAAAAAGGTTGGATATATGCACGATCATGTGAAAAATAAACGCGTCCGAATCCGCAAGGAAACCAAGAAAGGAATAGATCCATATAACACTTTCTATTACAACAGACGAAAAAAAAACTATTTGATGATAAAGAAAAGAAAGAATATCACAAAGCACTCTACGTGGAATAATCATGAACAATCACAGGATATGTAAAGAAAATACGGTTCCCAGAAAAAAGCGCAACGGAATGTTTAATTTACAACAGAAAAGATATGTTGCTTAAAAGCGAGCACAGTGTAAATGTATGATATAAATAATGTTTACAATAAAACGACATTTTGTTTTTATAACCTACAAGCATACTGCAGGTAGGGATGTATAGCGTGCACCCCTCTCCCCACACTTGAGTTGGAACAGCCTATAATCGACTCATTTGTGGAAGTCATAGATAGATGATCCTTAAATTAAAACATACTATTTTTTATAATAGCAGATAAACTATTATAAAAATAAGGCCTGCCGAACAAGAGATGCATACGTTGTATTACTTAAGAGTGTTGGATAAGCTAACTCTAAAGAATATTGATGAAGTGGGTCCTACTGGTAGGTGTCATATTCAATGAGACCGTTTTGCCGGGAGACTTAGTCTCTACATAAACCATATTGTCAGTGGTCCTTTTGTCGGGAGCCAAATTGACAAGAGCCTATTTGTCGTGAGCCAAAATGACGGGAGCCTATTTGTCGGTAGTCGTAATGACGGGGGCCTTTTTGTCGAAAAAATAAATGACAGGAGCCTACATGTCGGGAGCCTTATGGACTGTAGCCTTTTGTCGGAAGCCTATATAACGGGAGCCTATTTGTCGGCAGCCTATATGACGGGGTCCATATGTCGTTGGCCCTTTTGACGGGGTCTATTTGATGGGCTCTTATGTCGGGGCCGATTTGTCGGGGTCTAATTGACGGGGCCGTTTTGTCATTGGCCGTTTTGACGCCGCACGGAAATTTCATATACAAGTATTATATCAAATTTGTAGTTCTGTATCAACTTTTCAGCGATATCCGGTAAACGGAAGTGGAACTTTTTCTACTTTAGGGTTTTCAAAAACCTATAACTTGAGTACTGTTTCAGATAGATATAAGAAATTTAAAAAAATAAGTGAAACATCTCATTCTCTGCCTTCTGTCAAATTTTAAAAAATTTCCGTTGACTGGAAATGGTAATTTACACTATTTCCGATTTCTCAAAAAAATGGCATATGAATTTATAATGTACTAGTGTTCCGCACTATTATACACATACTGTTTGACGTTCACTTGGTGTGCAATTCTTTTTTCTACGAGATTCTATTCTATTTCAAAAAGTTTTAAGCAATAAACAATGGATTTTATATCATATGTATATCCCGAGTTGCCATTCCCCCAAGTGTTAGATATGTTTGCATTTATGCTAAAAATGTATTCAATGCTAATTTTTTACAAAGGAATTTGCAAAAACAATATTAGCTAAAGTGTATATAATAATATCGGATTGGCGGCGGCCCACGGAAAAGTGTGGGTGAACACCGCGTGTTCCCCAGAGGCTATCTTAGCACCAGGATGTCCTGCATAGGGTGAAAGGGTACTATTTGAATCATCGGTCAAGCTGCAGTAGGGGCCCCCATAGTCGGTCGTGTCATCCGGAGCACCCCGGGCTCCCAAATAAGCACTATGGTCCCTACATTCGTTTAAAAGAGCACCCCACACTAGGCTACTACATTCAATGACTAAACCCAACCAAAGATTGCACCAGACACCCGTGCTGTAATGTAACCGGTGGCTTCTAAAGGCCAAGCGACGCACCCTTTTTAATTTCTCGCATATGAAGTACCTATAGAGGAAGTATTGTAGTCGTGCAAAAAAAAAATCGTAAACGAAATGTTTACGAACCTCGGATTGTTGCCAGTGGCGGAACTAGAAAAAAATGGCCACCCCGCAAAAAAACTTTTTAGGCCCCCCCCCCATATATATATATATATATATATATATATATATATATCTAATATATAAAGCTCAGTTCTGTAACGTGTGGCAAAAAAGTTTGTCGTTGACAGTTCTATGGATTTAAGTGTTAGATTTTTTATCGTGCTCATAG